GAGGAGAGGCAGGCCGGCAGGCAGACGGACCCCCTGCCCCTTCCTCGGGGGGTGTGTGGTGGTGTCGAGGCCTTCCTTGCATCGTGCCCCCCACCGCCACCTTGGGCCATTGGACTCCAGAAGCCTTTGCCAAAGGAGTTGCTTTCGGACCCGTTTGGGAACCCGGGTGGAAGGGCCCCCTTCCCCTCCGGCCCTTTCCTCTTGGGCTTTGCTCCCTGAGCCCCTCCTTCCCTCCCTCCTTCCCCCCTCCCTCAGCAGGGCAGCTTCTGCTCCAGGGGAGACCAGGAGCCTCCTCCCCGGTTTCCAGTTCAGGCCCGTCTTGGCCCAAGTGGGATTTCGACCCGCGCTGGTTTACCAGGCAGCATCGGAACCAGTGGGTCCACTCTTATTCAGACCAGCCATGGCGTTCGGGCCGCTGGGATCCTCCCCTCGGGTTTCTGCAGGGCCGGCCGGCCAGCCAAGGAGAGTCGGTTTGCAAAGGCCCCTGAAAGGAGACTCGCCCCCCTCCCGAGGGTTGGAAGGGCTCAGAATTATTTCTCCGATTCAAGCGGTGGAAAAACAGCGGTGGCATCGTTTAAGTCTCTCGTTGGCACATCTTATGCCCAAGCGATGTCACAGGACCGGTTTTTGACACCCTGACACACACTATTTTAAAACATTTTATTTTAACGCTTCCTCCCCAGATTGCGTGAAGAGCGAGTATTGGTTCGGCAGAGACACGCACTGCGACTACAGCTTTCTCAGGACCAACGGGGGCGACGCAGACCTCTATAAGCAGTACAGCAAGAAGCACTTCCGGATCTTCCGAGTGAGTATTTCTTCTCCTCTGAGGCAAGGATCCCCCAAAGCGGGTGCAACCCCCTCCCTTCTTGCTTTGTAATCTCCCCGCCTGAATCAGGGGAGATCCAGTGCGTTCAGGGTGGGATAGTGGCGCAGAGAGGGAACCTCCAGTGGCCCTGCTCAGTAAATTGCTTTCCCTCCTTTCCTCTTGCCTTCTGACCCAACGGCACCTCCTTGTCTTTCTCCGCGAGGAATCGGGGCCCGGGAGCTGCTCCGTGACCTACATCGAAGACCAAAGTGCCAATGGAACCTTCATCAACGGAAAGCTCGTCGGGAAGGGCAAGAAGCTTCCGATGCCCCACGTGGCCGAAATTGCTCTCTCCTTGCCCCATAATAAAAGTGAGTCACGCCAGCAGAACCTAGGGAATCATAATAACCTTTGAACCGCAGAGGCTGGATGGGACCCCGTGGATCATGGAGTCCGGTCCCTCTCAAGGAGAGGCCCAGCGGGGGACTCAAGCTCCCATCCTCTGTCTCCGCAGCCGTCGGGCCCTCGTAATTTCCCAGTCCGGTTCCTCCACACACGTCTGATGTGTCCTTTTCCCTCGCAAGAAGGGGTCTTTGGAGTAGGGGAGGCGGGTGGGTGGGAACTGCAGCCTCCCTTATGACCCCCCCTTCCCTCTGCTTTGCTCTCCCAGCCCTTCTGTTTTCAGACCTTTCAGTGGATCATCGCCAGCTGGAGTATCCCAAGCAGCTGACGGAGAAATACATCATCTCCAAAACTTTGGGGACGTAAGTGAGGGCGCAGGGCTTCTTCCGAGCTCTTGGGCTTGGTTTGCGAAGGGCCGTGCCTTTTTTTCTCTTTGTTTTGATGACCGGCTTGGTAAAGGCGGGCAGAGGTTTTGAATCCTCGGAGAAAGCGAAAGAAACGTTGAGGAAAATGGAAATACACGCAATCCTTCTATCAAACTTAAGTTACTCTTTTAGCAATATGAAACGTTTGCTTCGTAACTTAATTAGCACATACAAATTGGATAGCGTGACGTAGGCTTGAAATCCGGGAGTTTAAAAGCCAGTTTTGTGCCAGTGAAATTGTGAATGTGCCCCGGTACGAAAGACGGAGCGGCGGAGGGATGTGTCGGATGCGTTGCGCCCTGTCAGAGCGAAGGCCCAGCTTGCACACTTTTCCCTGGAAGAGGGTAGACTCCCACCAGTGCATGAAAGCTGATGTCACCCTGTGTGTTTTAAAGGTTCTGCAAAATTATTTGTTGTTGTTATGGGTCTCCAGTGTTCGTACCTGAGACAAGAGATATTGTATGGATGCCCCCCTGTTCCCCGTCCCTGGAGTTCAAATCTACAAGGTCACTAATTTTGTTTTCTTACCAGTGGTGCCTGTGGAGAAGTGAAGCTGGCCTTTGAAAGAGAGACCTGTAACAAAGTCGCCATAAAGATAATAAACAAGAAGAAATGCATGGCGGATGTTTTGCCAGAGAATGTAAGTATCGTAGCTCAGTTGGCATTGGTCTCAAGGTTTTTTGGGGGGAGAGACAAGGGGTAAATCTGTTAAACATATATGTTAATTAAGGAAGGGGGGAAATCCCTATAACACCATTTTACGTGTTATGAGAGTTACGAAAGCAATGAAGAAGTATTTCTCTCTGTAATCCAGGCAAGTGCCGAGAATACAAGAAATGGCGCCCCCATTTCAGTATACTGTCCAGTTTCCACCCCTTGCCCCAGTTGCCTGTGAATCTCTTGAGTGTAACCCTAAAAAGGAATTGGAAAATATCTGCTCATTTGTGCTGGGTGGGTGGCCGGGGTGGGGGGGGACAGCGGCTTTATCGGAGGGAGAAGTCTTGAGATCTGTAAGCGTTGGGCTTCCTTCTGTTTTGAACAGCGCCTCAAACTAACTGGATGGGCCCAAAGCTGTAGAAGTGACTTTTGATGTTCCACTTTCTAAAAGCAGGACAAGCCGTTCAATGTGGAAACAGAAGTGGAGATTTTGAAGAAGATTGATCACGTAAGCTGGCCTTTTAGAGCAGAAAGCGCTCGTATTTCAGCTTGGAACGGTGGTGGTGTTCCCCTTTCCTTCATTTGTGATTGCATTCACACCTTGAAGAAATCCTCAATCTCTCTCTCGTTCTCTCTTTCTCAAAAATTGCGTGGCTGCCTTTCAAGCTGAATGTTCCTCAAAGGAAGGAATATTCCAGGGGATAACGGGGCTACGGTGAAAAAGGCCCCTTCTCATTTGCTCACCAGTCCAACTGGGCTTCATGGGAGCAGGGTGCCTACAGCCGAGTCTTGGATGGGTTGCCTGTGGGGGTTCAAGGGATCCTTCCATCCAGTCAATTGTGCTCAAGTCTTTTAGGGACCTAAAAGGCAATAATGCCAGCACTTCAAGTAGTAGAGCATCTCTTGAGGATCTATGTCAGCTCAGGGCAATTAGTGGGAGGAGAGGAGAGGGCTGTGTGTCACGTGTACAAGGACAAGACTTTAGCCCCGAGGCTCTGGATGGTGTCCAGTGTCACGTCAAGCCAGGCGGGGAAAGGCACAGCATTTAGCTGTTTGCTCTAAAATGCAAAAAGCGAATATGTGGGTTTCAGCAGAATCGCTGTTGGCAACCCTCGGCCGGGAAGTTTTTGTTTTTCTTGTGTTTGGTGTTGCTGTTTGGCTGCAGAGAAAATGTATACAAGTATATATAAATAGAAATGCACATGTGAACGTACGCATACAGAGACGTATATATCACAGTCTTCTCTGAATGTGAGTCGTTTCTAGAAAGCGTGTGAATGCTTTGTCGTCTTCTCTCCTGTTCTGCAGCCTTGCCTGATCAAGATAAAAGACTTCTTTGAAGGAGAGGATTTTTACATTGTGTTGGAACTGTAAGTCCATACCTGGCTTTTCTGCTTACGTGTCTGGGTTGTGCTTTTGTGCACAGGGAGGGCGTGCATGTCCTTGAGCCTGCTGGTGCAAGCGGGGAAGGTGAAAAAATCCGGAAGGATCTGCTCCGCTCCACATTGATGTAATCCAACGAAATGACAGAGATGGATCTAGGGGTCATCCTGTGGTCCATCAGGGGAACTGCAACCTCCTCGTCACCACCACGAACATCATCCTCATGGTGATGGCATTCAGCTCTTAACCTCTAATGACCTTTCCTAGTAGCTTCCTAGAGACTTAGGAGGGCAAATGTGGTCTTGAAAACCTGTTTCTGCAGCCCCCGGGCTGTGTTGCAAAGCCCATTTGCAACACCTGGATGCCTTTAAACTGCCCGTAGGTCATCAGCACCATTGAGGACCCCAAAATTGAAAAAGTGAAAGCGAACATCTAGCCATGGTTTGATCCAGTGTGGTTTTTTTTTGGTTGGGGTTTTTTGATTAGGAGGGCAAATGTGGTCTTGAAAACCTGTTTCTGCAGCCCCCGGGCTGTGTTGCAAAGCCCATTTGCAACACCTGGATGCCTTTAAACTGCCCGTAGGTCATCAGCACCATTGAGGACCCCAAAATTGAAAAAGTGAAAGCGAACATCTAGCCATGGTTTGATCCAGTGTGGTTTTTTTTTGGTTGGGGTTTTTTGAGGGGGGCAGTGTTGGGGGCTCTCAAAGACCCCGGAGGCAATAAAATGACCCCTGGACCTGAGTCACGATGGACTACTCTAGGCGGCCATGGTTTGATCTAGTGTGGTTTTTTTTTTGGTTGGGTTTTTTGAGGGGGGGCAGTGTTGGGGGCTCTCAAAGACCCCGGAGGCAATAAAATGACCCCTGGACCTGCCAAAGTAGCTTCTGATGTTAAACAACGGGCAGGATGACAGAGGAATCCAAGTAGCACTCATGGTAGCTGAGAGCCATGGGACCAAACAGAAACCCCCCCAGTCCCACCACCCCTGCAGTCTTTCACCTTTGCATCCAACCATCGGAGCCATTTCTTCCCCATAGATAGCCCTTTCTCGTCCTAAAAGTGCATTTCCTTCGGTCTTCAGTTTCCCCCAGGAAGTCACTGCGCTCTTGTCTTTTCAGGATGGAAGGCGGGGAGCTATTTTACAAAGTTCTGCGCCCAGCTAAGCTGAGTGAAGCCACCTGCAAGCTCTATTTCTATCAGATGCTGTTGGCTGTGCAGGTAATGCAGGCGGGGGGGGGGAGTGAAACTTGGGAGGCGGTGAGCTATCTTCCTAGGCTTGCCTTCGTGAAACCTGGGGCAGGTAGACTGTGGAAGTCTGCAGAGGTATATGGAAACGTCTCGGTGGTTTGGCAAAGCACAGGCTATTAGCAGGCGCAAGGACTTCTCAATGTGTTTTTGTATTTTTTTTAGTTTAGTAGAACCCCAAGATTCACCAAGCAGAGCCCAGAGAAAATGTTGCCTTAACAGAGTTCCTGGTTTACTGTGTATCCCCCCAGACAGTTACCAGTAGATTCAGATCGAGCGTCTGTCCCCTGAACTAGGTACCTGGAATGTTTGTGACTCATGTAACAGATGGAGTCTGTTTTTACACGGTTGTGCCACTGGAAGGCAATGTCTGTCTCCTGGTGAACCTTGGAAGGAAGGAGTGAAGGCCTTTGCATACTAAGGAGCTCAGCTCAAACCAACCAGTAACAAACTTCACCGGCTGGCTTATGCAGTGCCCTGAAAGAGAAGCGTTTCTTAGTTCAGCATCTGTCAGCTGCACGGGGAAATGGGTGTTAATGTTTTTACAACAACCTCCTTGCAGAAGCTGGAAGGAAAAACTTATGGCTGCTCTGTGTGGGAAGATGAAATAGAAATGTGAATAATAATAATAGTTGTAATAATAATAATAACAACAACAAACAACAATACAGTAATTAATAATAATTAATAATAATTGGTTTGATATTTTCTTTGGCACCGTGCGAAGTATCTTCACGAGCATGGCATTATTCACCGGGATTTGAAACTGGAGAATGTGCTGTTGTCGTCTCACGAGGAGAAGTGCCTTATAAAGGTGAGCTGGAGGGGCTGCGGAAGTCAGCTGAAACTACACAAACACATACTTTAAGCGCATGGGCTGTGAGATGCTTTCCTGTCATCTTCAAGGCCGCGGAGTGAAATAAGATGTAATTTAAGGCTTGCATGCAACACCTGAGATGGCCTTTGGTGTTTTATCCGACATGAGCGGCGTGTGTTCGTGTGCGTCATTAAGGAGGAGAAAGACAGATAGGTGGGGTGTACAGTCTCCACAAAGCCCCTTCCTCTACCAGGCCAAATCATGTAGATTTTATTCGATCTGTCCTGGAGGATCTGCTTTGGAAACCAAGCCGTTGTTTCTGGGAACTTCTTAGGTAGCCTGGAGGAGTTTTGTAGTGCATGCACACCTGTATAGGGCAGAGGAGCTCAAGCCAGCCACTTGGTGGAAGCTTTGATCCCTTTTTCTCACGTTCCTTGTGTCAGATTACAGATTTCGGACAATCCAAAATTCTTGGAGAAACGTCGTTCATGAAAACACTGTGCGGGACTCCGGACTATCTCGCTCCCGAGGTGCAAAATTTTGCTGGGACAGGCGGCTACGGACGATCCGTGGACTGCTGGAGCTTAGGGGTGATTCTCTTTGTCTGGTAAGAAAACCGAAACAGAACTCCCGTGGTTTGGTGCTGGACCGCCTTTTATGCAGGCGTGTCTGTGAACGAGCTTCTGCTTCTCAAGGAAGAATTAAAAAGTCACTGACAGACTTGTAGATTTGGAAGGGACCCCAAGGGGTCATCTGGTACACAGCTCAAGAGAAGCCTCCCACCCGCAGTTTAAAAACCTCTGCTGAAGGAAGGCTAAATAGCTTCTGGGGAAGCGGTCCTCTTGCGGTGCAACCGTACAGGTTGCGGATTAGAGTAGTAGCGGCCACCGGACATCTACGTTCCTGTGAACCTGCTTATTTTCTCTCTCGTGTGTCTGAATTAGCCTTTCCGGGTATCCCCCCTTCACCGACAAACATCCTCGGCTGTCTTTGCGGGAGCAGATTGCCACAGGAGAATACTACTACTGTGAAGAAATATGGAAACATGTGTCGAAGGAAGGTACGCTGCCGTTGTGATTTTTTTGCTTTTACACAGCAGGGAATGCGGGTGGGCCACAGCTTCCCGCTGCCGTTTGGTTGCCTGCGGAGTAGCAGTAGCGCGTGCAGCTGTCCAAACGAGGAGACTTTTCAGCACACCTTTAATTAGTTTCCCGGTGTACGGGCTGTGTTGTCACAGCCGACGACCCTGGTGTCCGTGTGAGGAGCCCCGGCTGAGGCACGACGTGGTGGCTTGCCGGCCCGCAAGAGTGCGTTTCCCTTTCTCGTTTCAGCTTTCGATCTGGTGAAGAAGTTGCTTGTGGTGGATCCAGACAAGCGCCTTAAAATAGAAGAGGCCCTGGAGCACCCCTGGCTACAGGTAGGCACGGCGGTCCCATCTGGGTGGAACGGGAAATGCCGCAGGAAACGTCTTGCTCAGAGGGACTTCCAGAGGATGCCCTGATGTCCAAGGGAGGACAGCCAAACGGTGCCCCACCTCTCCTCCTAGGCAATGGGTTTCCTATCCTGATTGAGTGCCAACATGTGGTGTCCTTTAATAGGATCTCCAGATTTGCTCCACAAAGCCAGGCGTCTTCCTCTTGTAGGGCCAGGGTCGTATCATTTTAAAGCTGGAAGGGACTCGTACCAAGCCAATTCCTTGGTCTCTCCCAGTATAGCCAGCTTAAAAGTCCACTCTCCAGGAC